TGTTCATTTCTCAAAAATTCCCTTTTTCTATCTCCATGGTATGTAGGAATATTTCTAAAAAAATTACCCTTATTTAAAAAAAAAAAAAAAAAATCATGGAGAAATCAATGAGATAAAATGTAAGAACCTAATGAGTTCTGTCACAACTATTTTGATCAAGTTCCTTTGCTTACATACTGAGGAGGTAAGTTCAACTGTAAATTAGAGCTGCAAACTGTGAGCCCCAAATTGGGGCAAAGGGAGAATGCAGCACCCATCTGTGACTACATTAACAAGAACACATTTCTTTTTTTACAAAATGTCATGCAATAACCCTATTTACACATCAATGGCTCAGATGCTGGCCTCATGTGAACTTTCAGATATTCAACATACATTTCCCTAACTATCCTCTTCTTGAAGTTCTCATTTGACGAACTAGAATAAACTACAAACATACCGGGACACTGACTCTTCAATGCATTTCTGGGTTTGGCAGCAGCAATGACTTGTACAAGCAGAAAGAAGCATCGCGTGTAAGTCTTTAATTTCAGGAATGCATTAACAATTTGACATGCCTTTGTAAATTACCTTGTGTGCCAGTTCCAGAGATGGGATGTTGATTATTGTGAAGCTGATAAGAACTGGTGGAACCGTTGTACTCTTGCCTGATTATTATATGAAGATCTGCTGCCTTTTGATGACTTTCTGCTGTTACGCAAGAAGAAATCTTCTGTGTCCAACACATAAGAAATCTGCCACATGATAGACTGGATCAGGGGAAAAGAAACAGTGGAAACCAAAATGCTTATGTTTATGGAAATCAGCATGCCATTTGCAGATGATTCTCTCTCCTACCTCTATCCGAGGAAAGAGGAAAGCAGATAGAACTACTTGGGACGAAAAGCAGAGTGAGTTAAATAATCTAACTCAGGCTACACAGAAGCGATGAAACACAATGGGCAAAAGCTTGGTTGGACTAAAAAGAATTAAAGCAAATAGCACATGCAAGAGCTTAGTACCTTGTAAGAGTTGCAAGCTATCTTGCATTCCAAACCATTAACCAGTTCCACACCTTCCATCGCTGTGCAAAAAGCAGAGAGCTCATCCAGGCCTGCATATTTGTTCTTGTTTCTGCACATAAAAATGGAGAAAAGTGGATCATGCACTGATATTTGCTGAGATTTCTGGAAACTTTTCTTTCCTATTGTATCTCAACAGTATCAATTTGCTAGAACATTAAATGTGCAAACTAGATGGTGAGTCCAAAAGTATGAATCACATTTCAATATGTCTTTGGCTGGTCTAAAAACTAGGAATCAAATTTCAATGTGCTGGTGGATAGTCTTAATAAGAACTCAAAATATTGAGCAGCATGGTGACACGGTTATGCAGATATTTTAATGGGGCACATTCAATGTAACCTTTGACAGTCCAGGGAAACCTAGGCTTCAACTGCTACATTTTAGATTAAGATAAAATCAACTACTGAATGTAACTGTTACAACCTCCTCAGCGTAATTCCATGTGGCTCCTTTTTGCCAGAAAAGACTGAAAGATAATCATTGTGCAGATAAACTGAAAAATTGGGATCCATGGAAACAGCAAATGCCTCAGGTTTTTCAATGACATTATCCATCAGCTGAATAGACAAATGAGATGGAGGAGACGACTGCAACATGAACAAAACTAATCATAAAAACAGCAGCAATAGTAAAATATTAAATGAACCAAAATTAGTAACCACCACAGGGATACAGAAGGGCCCTGTCTGCATGGCAACTGGCAAGAAAAACAAATTGTGAACACAACTTACACATTCCAATCTATATATGTTCTCCTCATGAAGGAGGACACGTGCATTCTCATAATACACTGAATCAATTGTCGTCCCATTTTTCCGGGACTTTTCATACTCATACAACTGAAGAAGTTTATTATCCATCTCATCTGTTGCAACAGTTTGAAGCTGCAGCAACAATTAAAAATTCAGAACAGATGAAGAAAAATGAAGGGAAATGAAATGGATCACCAGTAAGTTAAACAAACCTGTTTAACCAGTTTATATATTAACTTGTCCAATGTGAATAACACATATGACTGATTTCCTATTATAGCTCGGCATTCATCCTCAAATTTTGCATTATCAGAGGATCCATCAAGTAAACTGTACAGTGCAGTCATAAATCTGTGCAGCATGGAGATGAGAAGTCCAAATTAACATATGAATTTTGACACAATACTGAATTAGAACTCAGTCTACTACTTAAACAACCTGGCATAAAAATCCAAAGAATTCGCATCTTTTGAGTTTTTCCATTTTAAATCAGCACCTGTTGCATTTGTTTTTGCTGATAGGATTCTTTCATATAGAACCTAAGAAAGCCAACAAATAAGATTAGATTAAAGGGGAGAAAAATAAGAGAAATTAAAATAACTAATCCTAGGGAAAATGCTAAAGAAAAAACATTTTACTCACTTCATGGAGCCTAAAAAGAACATAGAAATCATCATTTCCATAAAAAACCCGAGATTTGCGCCTTTCTTCATCAAGTAAAATAGCAGACACATACTTTGCAAGAGGCTTCACTGACAAAAGAAAACGTTCTGACATTGACATGGCATCTCCACCAACAAAGTGCGCATCAGCAATCCCTTCAGCTTCACCTTCACTTTCAGCCTTGCCATCTTCATCTCGTTCCACGTCTTCCTCATCTTCATGCTCTTCACGGGAGCATTCATCACCAGCAGACTCACTACCTGAGCCATCATCTCTAGCCTCAGAAGCATTGTCACTATCTTCATCATCAGCATCTGCATCATTTTCTACCACATCATCACAATGCAACCCTTCCCCATTTCCAGACTGGTATTGCCGACTTTCAACCCCAAGTTTTGCCTTTGGCATAGCCTTCAAAGCAGCTACTCCATAGGCCACAAAATTATCCTCCTCAAAATCACCATTGGGCGATAACTCACCTTCCTCCCTTTCAATTTTTGAGGTTCCAGCAATTTCTTCATTACATCTACCAACCTTTGTCTCCTCTGAATACACTCCATTTGCTAATAAAACAGCTTTTGCAACATCTACTACCTAAAGTGCAAAGAAAAGTATACAGCTTAATAAGATAAAATTGAAATAGCTCAAACTTTTTCCATCAAACCAAAAAACACAACTCATACTTCTGCTGGAGGAGCAACATCAGCTCTGTGTTCATGATCAGTGGCACCTTCATTATGTCTTGATGCACTTGCACCACAACCTTAAAATTTAAACTAAATCAGCATAATTTTGAAAAAAAAAAAATCTTAAAAATAAGTAGGACAACTTAAACACCAAAAATCATGGAAATGTATGAATCATGCAAACGATTTTGAAATACATACCAGATGACAGTTCAACGCTGTTTTTTCCATGACTATTTTCTGCTCCGATTGCATTAGCTACTCCTCCACTGGACGAATGTATGCTGAATCCAGTTCTTTCTAAACTCTTTGGCTCTTTCTCTAGCTTTGAATCCTCTCGGTAGACACGACCTGAATGTTCTTCCTTGCCTGAAGTATCTCCATTAGCTCCATTGTTTCTGCCAGAATTTGTTGGTTCTGGTGAGCTGTTCTCATCCCCATTGCTAGTAGCTTTAGGTTGTGTAGAATTCCCTGCACTTGCATCATTCCTAGGACTCCCATCACTTTCTGCCATGCTTGAAGCCATGAAGTTTGTGGTTTGATTCCTTGCCTTTCCAGCATCTTCGGCACCCTCTCTACCGTGGGGACGAGGAGGAATACCCAACATTGGCTCCAAGAAAGTGGTCCAAAGCCTCATAACTTTATTTAACTGTTCTTTTGTTGAGCACATTTCTTCACATGAATATTGGACAAGTTTATACAAGTCTTCATGAATATCAACATCAGAGTATTCATATTCTAGGTTGGGAGCTAAAGGTTGTCTGTAACCAGCAGATATCGCCAAGAGAATGTCATCCTCTTTCTGATTCTTTTCTTTCAGCTCTTTGATTTCAGCCACCAAAGCTGCAATTGGTAAAAAGGATCATTCAAACTCATTAGCAATAATATTACAGAACATATGAGACAACCCTCTGTCTAAGAGACTCCTCAATAACTGTCATTAAAAGTTTAATATATAAGGGGTGTAATCTTCAGAACCAACTATTAGATAGTAGATACTGAAATTCAAACTTACACTTGGCACTCAAGTTCTTTGAATCTTGCTGCTTGAAATAGAAGCTGCGATGATCAAGTGATTTATAATGGTTTTTGGAATAAATCTCAGCCCAAACCTTGTTAAAATCAGCACGACACTTTGTCCACTCCTCTTGTTTCTGCTTTAGCCGGGTTAAGATGACTGGCAATGCAAGAGCAGGATTTCTACGCAATATGTCCATGACATCAAGGCCATGATCTCCATATAAACGCTCAATGCACCTTAAATTTAGTGCTGCAAGTGATTCAGAAAATGCCAAGATAGCTGAATAAGTAAATAACACCGAGATAACAATAAGTTCAATATAATTCTATAACTGGAAAGAAGACAAACCAGTAAAGTAGTCTCCAATACGAATGGGTGAATCTGGTTTAATTTTATTTTCATTAATGCTGTTCAACAAATCCTCAGCACGCTTGGCAGTAGAGCTTACAGATTCTAGCAACATATCTAGCTCAAATCTAAAACCAAAAACAATAATTCCATCATTTCTCCAAAGAAAAAAAAAAAATCAAAACTGTCAATGAAGATGGAATATAACTCCAGATAGCACAATGAAACAAAAAAATGAAAAATTAATTAATCTGAATCGCATTTTATAATTGGAACTACTATGCCACCAAAGTCAACATGAACAGATAACAAGGGGGAGAAAAGGAAAAAAAGGACAACAATATAGCTTTCACACAGTAAATATGTAGGACAGGAAGAGGAACTATATACCTATCATCCTCACATCGGAACAAACTCTCTTCATACTGATTTCTGCGCATATGCTTGAATGAATAATCCTCACTTCCTGAAGTCACAGATACCCAGTGATCATTCAAAACTTGAGCACCAAGCTCTGATCGCTGGCTTGCTGACGGAATTGGATACTGCAAGGGAAAATGCCAAACAGTTTTAAATAGGTACCAGATCACAAGGAATATTCTTCAAAAAAATAAATACTAAAATATCTCATACATCTTCAGGCAGAAGACGGTAGCTAGGAGTACAACGTTGGCAGTTAGAAAGGTCAAGCTCTTGTATGGATTTTGCCATATACTTCTCCCTGTACCTATCTTTTTCCTTAGCTCCCTCCAGTTCACGCTTCGGCTCTCTGTCTTTATCCTCCATCTTCGCTGCTCTGGACAGATGTCCATCACTGCCAAGTGATTCTGCAAGTGATTGGTGAGAACCATTAGATTAGCTTTGCCAAACATGCTCATATACAGGGGAAGAATGTTTTGCATCAAAAATAACTTACACTATCATCCTTACGAATGCATATAATAAATAATAAAACCACCAAAAAGTAAATGAAAATTTATAAATACAATGGAAAAGAAAAGAGGAATATCAAGCTACGTACTTTTACTCATAACAGCTAGGAATCCATCTGCAAGAGAGATTTTAATTAGACAATCACAACCAAAAAGACAAAGAACAAAGAAAATAACTTGACAATCAAACTTTCCAAGAATTACCAATATTCTCACAACGCTCCAAGAAACGATTGAACTCTTCCATTAGATCAGGAAACTCTTTTAGCAAATCAGCCACCTGAGAAGAGTATAGTGCAAGACAAGAAACAATAATGTAAAGCAGGTAAACTCAATACGTGCGTCAAGATATTCTACCAGAATGATGAACAGATAGCATGATCTGAAAAGATGGGATAAAATGCCAGAACTAGTGTTGAGCATACCAAATTTTGCAAGTCATTTCTTTTAATTATTCCATTGCTATAAATATGAAGGCACTTCAAGAATGCCTGATAGTCATCTGAGCTGCATAGTCTCTCCTTAACTTTGTCACAGAAAATGAAACCTTGGTCGTACATGCCTGATACCATATTTGAAAACAAAAACCTCAAAGTTATAAGTGTGTCACATGAAGGATAGAAAGTTGGGCATAAAAATTATCAAATGGACATCACAGAAGGCAAAGGTTTTGGGAACTTTAATAAATTGTTCCAAATTGCTTTCTGACAAAAGAATCGCTGGACAAAAATGTGAAAGTAAAACTTTTTTTCTCAATTTCTGAAAAGCAGAATAATAAGTTCAGTAAATAGATGGCATTTTTTTTGCTGCAATATAATAATAACTCTGCAGCATACATGAAAAGTGATAACAGAGGGCTTTGTTTAGAACAATATAGTATAAGTAATCATTTAACTAGCAGACTTAATTCAGTTCTCAGGTGCACATAACTCAAAAATTACTTAACTGAGACACTTGAAGCCAAGGTGAATTCAACCTAAGTGTTAGTGCCAGGAACATTTCCACATCTAAACATGCTTCAGAATCATATGTTTGCCTGAGGTCTATCAGAAAGAGGGAGTGGATTCATCCACATTCTAACTAGTAATTACACATATCTTTGAGTAAATCTGTCTACTGCATCAGTGATGACGACTTGTGAAAGCCTAACTTATCCAAGCATAAATTGAGGAAACAACACAACTCAATAGTCAACACATTCAACCAAGACAACAGTATGAAGAAAAATAAAAAGATAATTGTATATTATACTACCAAAAAATTCAAAAGTTCAATTGACTCACTCTTTAAAGTATCTTTTTCATCACAAGAAGCAAAGTTAGAATTGACTCCAAAGCCTTCAATCTTACTTGCAGATTTCCTTTTTTCAGGAAGACGGTGCAAGCTCGAATCCCTATTATCATGCTCAGGCTCTCTATCATCTTGATCACGAGGTTTTCGATCCCTGTTATCCCTCTCCACACGTTTCCTCTGCTCCTTTTGCATTTTCACCATAGCTTTGTCATCGTCCAGGTCAGGACGATCAACGCTAAGGTCCCGATCAGCATGGGAAGAAATTATCCTATCCCTTCTACGTTGCTGAAAGACAGAGATTCATAAGTTCCAAAAGGAACTACACTAAATTTTAGGATCTATAATAATAATTAAAATGCACCTTTTCCATTGTCATATGACGCATTGTGGGTGCAGCCGAGCCACGTTCATTGTAACGATGAGCCTGAGTTGAATTTCGTACATGTGGAGCATCATGCGTCAAAGGTGAAGCTGAATTACTGGGCAAAAATCTTGTGAATTCCTCAAGCAAATCTGGATGATCCTCAAAGAGAGCTGCAACCTGCACAATAATCAGATGAAAGACATAGAAAACTGAAAATTTTTGAAAATAGGTTTCCATCATTATGAAATGACATGACTACTACAACATAGCGGATGATCATGGCAAGAAATGATTAATAATTACGTGAAATTACCTCATTGTAGACCTCATTTATGTCCTTGTGCTCCTTCCGGTACATGTTCAATATGTCTAAGAATGATTTATAAACATGTTCATCATTTTGGAAACGTTTCTGCAGAATGAAACCCATGAAATAAAGGTTAGCAGAAAACAATAGCAACACATAAAACAATGGAAAAGTTGTTTACCTTTATCTTGTTTACAAAACTGATAGCTTCTTCAAATTCAACTGTTCTTTTTGGGGGATTCTCATCCTCATCAAGGGTTATTTCATATCCTTTTGGCAAGAAAGTATTAAATCCATAAATTAAGTTGTTATGCCCTTTAAACAATTCCTTCACTCTTGCAATGACACCAACTGTGTCAGTTCTGCAAAAGAAAAGAAGGGGATGGCATTCAGCACTCTAAAAGTTTAGACCAACATCACAATCTTAGCTGACAAAAACTCAGCAACCCAAAAGGGTATACCTCTGAGCTTTGAAGTCCTTCATGACCTCAAGGAACATGTCATATTTCTCTGTTTGATCTTGAAACAT